TGGCCATGTGTCCCCCGGTCAGCGTTCGCCAGGGAGCCAAGGGCATGTCCTGCCTCTATGCAGCCTGGCTGTACCAGCTTGTCCATGGAGACCAGATGAAGATCTGCTTCTCTTGCTTCAGGGCAGCCTTCCTGGTCGTTAAGAACATGCTGGAGATGGGAGACTGGGAAGAGGAAGCGTGGGATGCCGAGCCCATGGAACTCCCAGAGGCCGGATCTGAGCCGGAGGAGTGGCCGGGCCTTAGCTGGGGAGAGGGCCAAGGGCATCTGCCACATGGCATGCCTGTCTCTACAAGTCCTGGGGCCCAGGCTCCAGGTCCTGTAGGTACAGAGGGGATTGGGCTGGGACCCCAGCCTGTGCCCACTGAGCTTGGGCCTCAGGAAGCTGTGCCCCTGGATCTGGGCCCTGAGGATGCTGAGTGGACCCAGACCCTTCCCTGGAGATTTGATGGCCTTTCTCCCTGCTCTCACTGGCTCATCCCTCCTCTGTCCTGGTGGGATATTTTCAATGTCAGCCCGTCTCCCGGGCAGCCCGTGTTGTTGGAATTGAGCCCCACCTGGCCCATGGACCCATTGGAAGCAGAAGCTTGGCTTGTAGACCTGAAGTTTGTCTTCCTGTTGGGTGGCTTTGATGCCATCTGCTATCTGCTGTCGATGACTCCCTGCTGGGCCGTGAGAACCCGCGTCCAACGCTGGCAGGTGTTGCTTGACCCTGGTGAGGTGAGGGTGGCCCAGCTGCAGAACGCCCCCGAGCAGCAGGACCTGCACCGCTGGCGGCTGAGCATCCTGGAGTCCTCAGAGCTGGGGGTGGAGCTGGTGCCGGCCGACTGCAGCCTGAGGAAGGGAGGCTTCAAGGTGCACTCCTACCTGCCCTGGCACAACAGCACCCCGGAGGCCTGGAGCAGGGAGCCAGGCGAGAGACTCCTTGTTGTAGAGGTTGTGTCTCTGAGGGAGCTGCCCTGCTTCCGTTCCCCCTCCCCCGATCCGCACAACTGAGGGGCTGCTGCTCAGGCAGCCCCCACTGTTCCAGGGTTTCAGGACTGTGAAGAGCCGCAGTTGCCCCTCAGCCGCAGGTCCTGGAGCACGCCCAGCATCTTGAGGGGAGGGAGAGTCTGGATGGGCCTGGGGCGGGGTGGCAGGGAAGCCTGGTTTAGTTCTCAGTTGACTGTGTGGATGGTAAGGCCCAGTTTTATGTGCATGGGGAAGACTGTGTGTCAAGTGCTACGGGGATGGGTCACTGATCTGTCACCAGTTCTGCCCTAGTGGTAGGTGGGGACACTGGAAGTGTGGCACCGAGTCAGCTGTGGTTGGCCCATGCCTGTTCTGCACTTGGCTGCTTCTGAGGGACGGTGAGTTCCCGCCGGGTGCATGTTTCCATTTAATAAAGTTGATGTTTGCAGAGAAGCCTCTGGCAGTCTCCTCATTGGGTCCTACGGGTTGTTTACCTCTTTCCTGGGTGAGTGGCTGCGAAGCGCACATTGGGTTCTGGTCTGTTTTCTGGGTCACCTGGTAAGTTTGTCTCAAGTCTATCAGCCAGTCTTCATACCTGAAGTACAGGGCTTAGAATAGGGGCAGTTTCCTGTGTGGATGGAAAGCGTGTCGTCCCACGGAGTGGCAGGAGACGGCACAGGCTTGTAATCCCAGAAGTAGCGTTATGACCTTAAGACCTGTCTCATCTTCATACTGAGTTTGAAGCCAGCCAAGGCCCAGTGACAGCCGGTCTCAAGAAAGCAAAACAAAAACCAGAGTGTTGTTTTGCTTGCTTTTTGTTTTTCTTGGTAATGAGAATCAGCCACTGCCTGACACACGCTGGGCCAGAGTTTCTGAAGCAGATGTCTTATGCTCCGTTTTCTGAGATGAGGTCTCACTGGGAAGCCCAGGCTAGACTTGAACTTCTGGCTGTCTCTCTGCCTCAGTTTCTCAAGTGCTTTCGTCATATGTGTAGGTCACTATGTTTAGAGGAGAGTAACCATCTGTTAATTATCCTGAAGTTGACTGTGTGAATCTGATCTAGGGGTTCTAGGTAAACAAACGGTCCCTGTGCTGTGCTGGGGTACATGGGACGGAGCCCTGCAGTAGCTCTGTTTTGCCCACCCGCTGAGCTCCATGACCTGTTTATGGGCACTATTTCTTAGCTTTTATTTTAGTTTCTTATGCCTCTACCTCCCTTCAACCCCACCACTAGATAGGAGAGAGAGAAGGGTGGAAGAGAAAGGGTACATAGATCTCTTTAGCACTTCTGGCTGTTTGGGATTGTCGGGTTCTTTGGGGTGGTGTTGTCAGGATACCCAGCAGTCCATGTAACCAGCAAACAGCACATGAACCAGCAGCCTTCTTCCTCGTCTCCTCAAAGCATTCTTTGCCTCTCTCTGGGCTCTGCTCTTTATACCCTCCCAGAGTCCCTCAGAAGTAAGCTGTCTGCAGCTGGCAAAGACCATGCCCCTCTCTGAGCTGCATGAGGTGATTATCAGCTGTGGATCAACTAAGGCAGCCCCATATCTCACACTGGGGATTAAAACAAAAACATATTTACGTAACTGAGTTTTTAAAGAAACTAAAACTGCCACTAGCCTGTTGGCTTCTGTTCCTCCAAGGGTCGTGGAAGCTATTAGAGAGCAGTCTTTTTTTTTTTTTTTTTAATTTATTTATTGTTTATATATTCTGCCTGCATGTGTGCCAGCAGGTCATAAGAGGGCACCAGATCACATTACAGATGGTTGTGAGCCGCCATGTAGTTGCTGGGAATTGAACTCAAGACCTTTGGAAGAACAACCTTAATAGCTCTTAACCTCTGAGCCATCTCTCTGGGCTCATGGAAGCTATTAGACTGCAAGCATATCTGTGTTCTCTGCTCATCTCTTGCCATTCATGTGTGCTGATTCACACTCCAAAGTTGTCATGACCTAATTAGTCATGTACTTTGAGGCTGTCATTTACTCCCTTTTGCTTATGTTTGTGTCTGTGTGTATGTGCCCTGTGTGTGGCTGCCTGTCTGGAGTTAACAGGTGGTTGTGAGCCATTTGACCTGGGTGCTGAGAACAAAGCCAGAGTCCTCTGCAAGAGCAATGAGCTCTTAACCACTGAGGCATCTCTCAAGCCCCTTACTATCAAAATTTAGAAAGCAGATCCGAGGATAATAGGAGAGGCACCATGCCTGGTCACCGCCAAGGATGACATGCCTGTGTTTTTGTATGGATATTTACAAACGGCTCTTATAAGAGAAAGATGTAAACATGAGGCCTCCATGTGTTACTCAGGAAGAGTGGATATAGGCAGGACAAAAGCTTAGATCCAGCCAAGCTAGCTCTGTGCCCAACCCTCTAAGAAAGCCCAAGGGTGATATTATCTATTAGTTTAGAGCCTGTAGGATCTGTGTACATGACAGTCCTGACGAGGAAGCAAGAGAGGCAACCAGGCCTCCTGTGCCCTTCCTTGCATGTCCATGCTGCCAGGCCTGGATGTGGACTCGCATAGGCCTTTTATGCACTGGCAAACATGTCTGTATCATTTGTTATCTGTAAAGGAGGCTTTCCAGCCGTCCGGGGTTACAAGAGTAACCACGCAACTGATAAGAACTGAGGCTTCACTATTATCAGTGGCAAAGTGGGGTTAACCTGTGAGGTGTTAATCAGCAGAAATTCTGATTTTAAAAGTTTTTTTTTTTCCTTTACAGAGTGTACATATATGATTTATTTTCATTTTTATCACGTTGGTCTGGCATAAGGCCCCTGGCTTCTGCTACTTCTTCAGTACTGGAACCTCACTGTGATTCCTTTCAGATATCCTGCTGTTGCCCTGTGTCATGGAGATCCACAGTTTTGGATCTGTAGGACCCACGCCTTCATGTACCCCTCCAGTTCAATGGGCTAGATGTTGGGGTGGGAATTCAAAACCCTGGATCTGGGCCTGACAGGTATCTGGTGGTGGTCGTCTGAGGCTAGCTTCCTGTCCAGGCTCCCTGGTGCTAGACTGGCGGTTGTCTCAGGACCCCTTCTTACAGGGGGTGTTAGGCTGCTCGTCATTCAGATGCTCACAGGTCAGAACACCGAGCCTGGACACAGCCTCTTTCCTCTCTGCCACTGACACGCACACAGCAGCCATTCCTGCAAGCCTCTAGGGGAAGGGTTGTTTTCTTATTTGTGGGGGGGGGGTTCCCCTGAGGAACTCAGAGAGGGTGTCAGGTACCCTGAGAGCTAAAGAGTTACAGGCAGTTGTGAGCTGCCTGATGTAGGTGCTGGGACCAGAGCTTGGGTCCTCCATGAGAGCGATACACACTCTGAGCTGCTGAGCATCTTGCTGGGCCCAGAGTGTCACCATTGCAGGTTTGGCTAGCCTTGAATTTTTAGCAGTGCTCACTTCAGCCTCCCGAGTGCAGGGATTTCAGGTGTTTGACACCATGTTTGGCAAGAAATGGTCTTTGAGCATCCCTGAGCAGCCCAGTGGAATGGAGTGGAAGTGGGAGAGCGTGAGCAGGCCTACCTTACCTAACCCCTGATTTTTGGAAATGCTGCCCCTAAGGCCTGCCCAACACCCCTGATCTGTCCATGTCTAAAAGCCATCCAGAGGCGCGTCATATCTGTGACCCCAGCACACACACTGCTACTTCCTATTTCCTAGAGCAGTGGGCTCAGCCTTCCTAATGCTGTGACTTTAATACACTTTAATACAGTTCTCATGTTGTGGGGACTCCCAACCACAAAGTCGTCTTGTTGTTTCGTAACTGCTGTTTCTACTGTTATGAATCGTTAAGTGAATATCTGATATACAGGCTATCTGACCTATGATTCCTGTGAAAGGCTCACTCCACCCTCAAAGGGATCGTGCCCACATGTTAAGACCTGCTGCCTTTCAGGCTTGGGGTTCTGAAACATGCTCCCATCATTCCAGGGCTCCCCACCTTTGAACAGCTGGAGAATAAGGCTCTTTCCCCCTTGCCTTCCCCACACAGCACAGAGCTGGAGGTGAGGTAAGGCCTGTTGGAAATCAGCAGCCATGTCTAGGCCCTGTGTGTCAGGTGCCCATCAGCCTATAGGAACAGGCACTGCTGCCCTGGACTCCAGCGGTGGCACTGAGTGTAGCCACCCACCTCAGTCTACCCTGGCCCCACAGCACAGGCAGTTCTAGCTGTCCTACTACGCGCTGGTGCTGTTTTGGGCTTATTCGTCACTGTCCAAAATGGCATTTGCTGTCTTTAAAAAAAAAGCTGGGTAAATCAGATCCGTGCCAGTCATCTCGCCCTCAGCCACTGGCCGTCTGCCCTTTTGGGAGAGTGCCCTTGCTGTCCATCACTCAGGTGACAGGCCGTACTGCACACAATGAATAACACATGCTGAGGTTGAAAATAGCTTTAAATATTTCTATTTAACTTCCTTATTTTGAGCTTCAAGCAAAATGAAAGATGTGAGCTGGGTGTTTGGAACTGTAGGCTGCATGGGGACCTGTCTGCAGGCTGTTGCGCGCTCTCTCTTGAAACGATGGAAGGTGAAAACATCCTGGCAGTTCTAAGTGCTCTAGACCTTGGGTGTGGCCCCACTGTACTTGTCAGTATGGGCCTCACTTGGGGACCCCATAGGAGACCTCTAGGGACCACTGGCAGGCATACAAGTGGTCCACGAAGCTATCAAAGCACTCTTCAGTCACTGCTTCTGGCCTTGTCCAGCTGTCCTTTCTTTCCCAAGGAAGACAGGATTGTGCACTCCCTGGCCCAGACACACAGGAAGCATGCCTAGGAAGCATGTGGGCATGACAGACTTGGGCCAAAAACCCATTCCTGAATTCTGCTATGCTGAGTATTTAGTTTAAACACACAGTTGGAGAACACAGACCCCAAAGTCAGCACCAAGTCCAGCCCACACATCTGGTGGACAAAAGATTGTGGAAATTTACTGCTCTTGGGAGCACTTGGCCATTGGCTTGGTGCGGGTGCCTGGGACCCTAGGACCTTTGACAGTGTCTAGAAACCCCCACCCCCGTGGTCAGACTCGTTTTCAGGGTTA